GCTCTCTCCGCTCCCACTTCTCTACATCTAGCGCAGGGAACCAGCGAGCAGGTCTTGAGATGCAGCAGTGACAGCAAACAAAGGGCGAAGGCGACGAGGAGGCGAGGACGGCAGGGGGTCGCCCCCCGATCAGATGGTGCCTCCAGCGCTGGGGAGAGGAGGGAGGGTCGGGCTGGGGCGGCGGCGGAGGAAAGCAGAGGAAGGGGCCCTGCAAGACCCCGGCCGGGCGAGGGACTGACCCAGCAGCAGTTCTCTAAGTCATTTGATGGGGCGCCTCCAGCATTTCCATCAAGAAGGTATCAATCGGCGTGTCACCTATTAGCTTGAAGAAGAAGAGGTGCTCCAGGCATTTCAGGCCGATGGATCGGAGGGCTGGGAGACGGAGCAGGAGCTTTGCAAACCTGGGGACAGGAGACACGACACGGTCAGACATCCCCGCTTCTGCCTCGACCCCCAAAGCTTCTGTGGCCGCTCCTGCTCGCAAGGGCAGTGACTCAGAGTTTTGCTATCAAAGTCACGGGGCTACACCCAGAGCTGTGCAGAGAAATCATCAATTATGTCCCCAGCCTTGAGGATCAGGCAGCCACGGTGGCTATTCACAACAAACATCTGCTGATAGCTGAGCTGGAAGAGTGAAAAAAGAAATGAAAAGCTATCCCTGGACTGGGCTGCACCACTGGCTTCATGCATATGCTTCGCCCTTCAATGAGCACCCTGAGATGCTCCTGGGGTCCCTATGCCGCAGCCACGGGGCCACCCTTGTCAAAGGCAGAGGTGCAAGTGGCTTCAGCTGCTCCATCTTCGTACAGGGAAAAGGGCAAGCAGCCAGGGAGGGGACGGAGGAGAGGCTGAATGGGGTTAGCCAGCACTTGGCTCGGTGATACCCCTTTCCCGCAGGCACCCAGCACCTCCTGGGCAGCTCCGTCACCAGGGCAGCCCCAGGGCTGCTGGCACAGCAGAAATCCGGCTGGTGGTCGGGCTGGAGGTACCTCGGGGATGAAGCCAATGGAAGGAGACAAGGGCTTTGACGCAAAAGCTGGAAGGAGCGCTGCAAATCATCTGGGACTCGGGATGCTCCCCTTCTGCCAGCCCAGCGCCGGGCTCCAATGAGCCCCAGCCAAACCAACCCCCTTTCTCCCCAGCCCATCCCAGGTCACACTGGTGATGCTGCAAGAGCTGACAGGCAGGCAGGGTGCACAGCCAGGCAGGGGGAGAGTCAGGGGGGCTGGGGAGAGCCGACAGCACTGCAGGAGCTGGCTGGGGTGAAGGAGACGATGGGAGACGATGGCCAGCCGTGCTGGGGAAAGGCTGCTGTGTGTTGGGCTCCGACGGCAGCAGGAGGCTGCGGAGCCAGGAGAAAGCCACCAGCAAGGATGCTTGGGAGCACCCTGTGGTGCCTGCATCCTGCCTGCCCACACCCCGGGGTGCAGGCAGCAACCCCAGGCGCTGCGGAGTGCCACCTCCCTGCACACAGCCCTTGTGCAACCGCTCTCAGAACTGGGAAAGGCCCTTTAATGGCCAGGAGCGGGTTTATTTGTTTTTACTGCTGCACAACCAGGGCTTGAACATAAGCAAAGGCCGGAAGCAGCCCAGGGAGAAGGGGACTCTCTAGAAAACACACACAGAGACATGCACAAACACACAGATATTATACATGCGTGCACACTTCTCCCTCCCTACTTTTTTTTTTTTTTGCTGAGCTGGCGAGAACAGTGGGAGCAGAGCCAGGAAAAACAAATCAGTCCTACCATCCCATTCAGGAAGTTTCACTTTAAACCAAACCAGATGATGGCTCCAGCCCTCGGCTATGTTTAACTGTGAGATAACCAGCCTGCAGCACAATGTGCCAGGGCTACAACTGGGAGGGGAGAAAATAATCGGGGCTGCTTGGTGTCACGTATGGCCCGTGCCCTCCCCGCAGAGGAGCAGGGGCTGGGGGGGGGGGGCGAACTAGGAATGTCTCCTTCCATCCCGCTGTTGCAGAGAACTTCCCTGTAGGTGTTTACATGGTGCTCGGGAGCTCTTGATGGCTGGGGACTGGGCTGAAGTCACACACCAAAGGGCATCTGAAGTGGTGGGGAAGCCAAGCGCTCGCAGCAGCATGGAGCAGGGGAGGGAGCCCGCCATGGCCTCGACCAGGAGCTTGCTCAACCACAGGAAGAACTTGTTTCCAGCCCCAGATGGGGATCACATTGTGTCATGAGGCCAGGAGGATGGAGAGAGCTCCTGAGAGCTTCATTTAGCTCTTGTGAAACTCTGGACTTCCAGCCCACGAGTTAACCCTCCCGAGCTACCTGGGCTTATTGCAAGAGATGGAATAAGGTCAGCAATGCCCAGTCATGGCTCTCAGGACAGCCCGAAGCGTGCAAAACCCTTCAAGGTCACCAAAGAAGGGTGTGAAGATCACACAAGGGGGTCCCCAGCCCCAGGTCATCCAAAGCCAGTGAGACATGAAACTCCAGAGCCCTTGGCAGAGGCTATCGGACCTAAAACGCTCCCTTACACATGGCTGATCCCTGAGGTAGAGCTCTGGGGAACTGCTTTTGACTGGTGGCTCAGCGACTTTGCTCAGTCGTGCCCAGTGGCTTTGTGGTGGCCTGGCCGATGACGAGTGAAGCCGTCCCCATGCCAGTCCTCTGCCCCCAGCCCAGCCTGCGGCAGCGAGCAGCAGGGTGCAGGGCAGAGTGACTTAGCTGTGGACACTGAAAGCCTGTGTGAAGCAGAGTTCATCCCACTGCTGGAATAATCCAGGAGAGCTGCTGGCCACGATTCCCAGCGCAGCTCTCCTTGTGCCAGGTAGGGCTGGCTGCTCGTTGTGAGACCCAAGGGAAGCAGAGCTCTTCTGAAACACCAGAACAGCCGAAGTCCAGGATCTGGGTCTGGATTTGCTTAGGAACTGCAATTTAATAATGCTTTTTTGGAAGAGGAGCAGGCTTGAGAGTTGGCCTGGGGTCCACAGAAACTGCCTGGGGAGGGGAGAGGTAATCACCTCTGCCCCGTGCACCATGCCCATCCCTCACTTCCCTCCTCACCGCAAAGGCAAACACTCCAGCAGTACCTTCATCCCAGTTCCCCACCACAAGCCAACCACCAGCATCCAAGAAGCCCCTTTACAATACGTCTTTTTTCATCTGACAGCACATAGGTAGCCAAAGCTGGGGGGGAATAAGCCCAATATTACTTCTGTGGGTGTGATCTGCCCACTGCATTCACTGCTGTAAGAGCATCCTTTGTTTTTTTTAACTGTTCCAGCATACAAGACCGGGAATGCAGGTGAGATGCAAATCCCAGTTGCTTGGGCTGTTTTTCCCAATATTCACGCCTCAGCAGCAACACACACCAGCAGCAGTTTCCAGAGCTTTGCTTGGTTTCTCAAATGACTGTCAGTAACTTAACTGGCAGTTGCCAGCTTCAGGCTGTAACTGGGAAAATGCTCCCACTCAGCTCCGGATCGGTCCAGGAAAGCATTCCTAATTCCCCCTCCCATTCCCAGCTGGATTGGGGGAGGCAGGGAGGGGAGAAAAGAGCATCAATTGAGGCTTTCACTTCCCAGCAATGATGCTCATCTGCCACTGAAAATTAACTCCGTGTGTGTCTTATTTTCGCTGTGGTTTGCTCTCCGTGGTTGCCAGAAGGGAAATGATACCCCTTCCCCCATGTGCTCATCCCACTGCTGCGGCCGCGGGAGCCAGGGCTCCTCAGGTCTCGCTGCTGCCCGACCTTGTGCTGCGGGACATGTGCTGACACGGGAATAGACCTCTCTGCACCTCACAGGGGGATTTTCTAAGGACGTTCACAGCTGAAGAAGGAAGGAATGAGCAGTTTTCTCTGCAGAGAACTATTCACTCCCAGAAGACATGGGAACACGGAGCCCTGAATGGGACCTGGCATCCATACAATGCAGGTGCAGCGACCACGAGGGCGGCACTCAGACCCCTTCCTGGGCTGCAGCACCCCCTGCACCGGGCTCTGCAGGGGCACAAGGCTGCAGGACAGAGCATGGCCAGCAACTCACCTCCCGGGCTGGTCGGGGTATTTGTGTTTGCAGTATGCCTCTAGCGACGCGTACACCTTCTCCCGCAACGCCTCCACTTCAGCCGGGTTGGAGAGACCTTTCGAGTCTGAAAGGCAACAAAAGAACCATCAGCCAAAAACTTCCAGGCTTCCCAGGCAGGCAAAGGAGCCCCCTGTGCACCTCCCAGGATGCACAGCCCCCTCCATCCCTCCATGCACCACCAGAGCAGGACACAGCATGGACACAGGGCTGGAACCCCTGGAACCTGGGGCAGTACCTAACACCTCCTGGGGAGCGTTCAAGCCCTGAAAGGTTTGCCTTGTGACAACAGATCTGGTTTACCCCACCTCATACCCCAACCCCAACCATTCTGGCTGGTTCCAGTGGTCACAAAACCTCACAAGAAGGGTTTGAGTCCCCTTCACATCCTGGGTTTGTGGGATTTCTCCCTCCAGCATGAAGTACTGTGGCAGGGCCCTCGCTCTGGTAGGTCCCCCGCGATGTGGCGAGGATCTGTTTTTAGTAGGGTGAAAGGGACAGTCAAGCAATCGATATCCCCAAGCACATGCGGCACGGGAACCTCTCCAGATTCCCCTTCTTTTACCATATACGGCTAATCCCAAATTACAGACAATAAATTACTGGTGATTACAAGGAGGGGGATAAGTCAGGCAGAAAAACAAACCTAAGAAACAGCAACAAACCCTGCTGAAATGCCCTAGCTTGGGTTCAGTGGGAAAGGCCAGAGTGCTGGGGCACAAACCATGCTCCTGAGAGGGCAAGGAGGGGAAGGGGTGGATGTGGAGGTCCATCCTCATCTACCATCTGCTTTTGCTCTGGACTGACATGCTCTAAAATACAGAAATCCTCCCCCAAAAGAGCTGTACAGGTATCTGCAGGCTGGCATTCTATCTCCTGCTGCAGCAAGGCTTTGGTCTGAAACACCGGAGAAAACCTCTGGCACCAAACCTTCTTCCCTTGGGCAGCTGGGGCCAAGGGGGGAAAGCGAGCAGTGTGAATCCTCCTGGAGTCTGTAAAACTAAGCAATCTGCAGACAAAAAATAGTTCTTGGGTATTTTCTGTGCATTTTCCATGCCTTTCACCCTCTCCAGGTCTGCAGAGGGCTATTCCAGAAACACAGTTAATAAAAGCCCTTGGATGTTGAGATCAGGGAACAGAGGGCAATAATGCCCATGCTCTAACTTTGCTCTAATCCATACCTTTGTCTTACAGGACAGCTAGATTCATTTTTACTCCTATTCCTCATCCCTGGAAGTGTTCAAGGCCAGGCTGGATGAGGCTTGGAGCAACCTGGTCTAGTGGAAAGTGTCCCTGCCCATGGCAGGGGGTGGGACTGGGTGGGCTTTAAGGTCCCTCCCAAGCCAAACCATCTGTGATTCTATTCAGGGACAACTCCCTCAAGCACCAGATCGTTCTTTTTACAGAGTCGGCTGAAACACTGGAAATAGGAAGACCCCATGGGTACATTGATCAAGCCAAAGCTCAAGCTCAGCAGAGAACTCATCCCATCAGTAGGAATCAGCTCCAAAAGCAGCATTCACCATCTCCTCAGATGATCACAGCCAAGTCCCAGCCAAGGCTGGGGCCTGCATGGGGAGTATTTTGGACTGTGAAACCATGCTGCCCTCTAGGAAGGGGAGAACACCCCTTGGAAAGGGAGGCCAGGAGAGCAATACAGGGCATGGATCCAGATCCATCCCTGACCTGCAAAGAACACGCTTGCAAGGTGGCAGACACAGGTGCAGCACTTAATTCGACTTTCATTCTTGCCTCTCTTCCTTCTTGCCCTGTCCTCGGGAGTTGGGCGCCCCTGGTTATTTGCAATGGAGCTTTATAGGTAAGAAAAGGAGCCAAAAGGACAGAGCATCACCCAAGAGAGGGCAGGAGAGCAGGTAACGGCATGTACCGGGGTTGAAGAGGACAATGGCTCGCAGGCAGCCTAGCTCTGTCTTGTCCATCTGCATGTCTCGCATTTTTGACACGAGTTCTGTCAGTACTCTGCAAAGGACACAGAAATCACAGGTGTCAGCGTTAAAAAGAAATGAAAAACCACCCAGGTGTCAGACCCGGAACGAGGTCCTCCGGTGCATGGTTAATGAAGTCACAGGATAGCGCTCGCTTGTACCAGGATATGCCCTCATTTTCCTCTTGTATCAAAAATAGCTCATTAGGAACATCAACAGTTCCTGTGAAATACAACAGGGACTGTAAAAACTGGCTTCATACATTCACTGAGAGGCTTTGGCACCTGAGAAAGCTGGCTAAAAATAAAAAATAATAATATAGAAAAAAATCCCAACAGGTATCTAAAAGCAATTTCCTCTGCCGGTAATTTTTATTACTCCCTTTGCTCTTAATGCAGGTGCCGGTCTTGAAATATTTTCCACGGATTGCCCAGTTTTTCCTGTTAGATCCTGCAGTGAAGTCATGTCTTGCACTTGTGACCTCACAGGAAACAAATGATGTCACCCAGGTCCGAAGAGCAATTTCCTCCCAAAGCAAAGAAGCAAAGATGATTTGGTTTCAACTAAGATGAGTCTCGGGCAGAGAAATCAGCCACAATGGAAGCGGCGTCTGGAGCCACAGTGTGGGTCAAACACGCTGGAAGTCTGGCTTCAAAACACTTTCCCAAAGCACGAGATTAAAGAGCCCTCGGGATACGCATGTGGAACCTGCTGGGTATTTTTGGTGCCTTTTCATTGTGAAAATAAAATCACGTCTTGGTCCAATTAAAGATGAAAAGAAATAAAGGAGCAGCCTCCTCGTAACATTAGAAGGCATCTGGACCCCATGAAAGAGGCTTTGATTTGCACTGGGCAGCCCCCTCCTTGACTGTTTCAGGCTGCAGGTTTAAGAGGAGGGATTTAATGTCATCGCCAGCAGCAAGGACCATGACATTCCCATGCGTGCCACGGGATGGACGCGCCTCAGCCCGGGCTCCTCCGACCACGGGCCCACATGCCAACGCCACCTCCATCCCACCCCTCAAGCAGTTCCCAATGCCGGGAACAGAGGCAGACCGTTGCGGAGACGGGGGTGACTAGGCAAGGTGGCCTGAGACGTGCTCCCCACCGTCCCCCCTCCCTCTGCCCACCTGTCGAAGATGGCCCCGACGCCAGCACTGTGCGCGCTGTTCCGGTGCACGTGGAGCCCCGTGGCTAAGAGGATCCCGTCTTTCACGGCTATGGAGCGGTGGGAGAAGGAGGCGATTAGGAGCTCATTCCACCCTGGGGAGGAGAAAACAACCAAGGCCGTAGGTTAGAGCTACGGGGTCCTCAGCGGGTTTGGGAATCAGCAATGTCACCTCCCCGGTGCTACGAAGAGCGGAGGAAACTGCTCAAGAACCACCCTTGCTAGAGTAACGTGGCTGGATATGGGAAGGGAGGGGGAAACCAACCCTTTCTTGGATATCAGGGAAGGAAAAAAACGTTAAGGAACAAATGCACTAAAAATATAACGCTAATAAGGGGAGCAGTTTCCCCTATAAACCTCACAAGCACCAGAGCAAACGGTTCTCTGTCCTGCTCCTCTATGAAAGTACAAGTGCATGTGGAGCCCTGCAATCACCCTCTGACCTTATACTCAGTGCCTCTGAGCAGTTAAAGACCTATTAACGCTTTATATCAGCTAATTGGGCTCATTTTCAGCCCATAATGGGGCACACAAGTTCATTCACCATCATTCAGCCGTGTAAGCGAGGACCATGAAAACTCCTGCTTGCAGGTTTGTTGCTTCTGCCGTATAAACACGGGAAGGGATCGCCTCTCCTCCCGCCTCCCGCTGTACAGGGATGTCCCACGTCCCTGACAGCTCCACTAACAGACTTCCATAGCTGCCCAGAAATCAGCTTTTGACGCATTAGTTACTGGACATGCTACTTCAGGAGACAGGAAAACACATCCTCTGAGCACGGGCACGCTGGGCGCAGTCCAGCCTAGTTACAAGTGGTGAAAGGAGACATGATCTCCTTACCCACCTTCCAGCTCCCCTTCCTAATTTAACACATCTGCGAATTGTTAAATCTGCTACCAGCTGAGTTCAAGAATGCCCAAAACAAGCCCATGGCAAGAAGAAATGCTGTACAGTTTTGAAGGGTGGAATTTTTGGTGACTTTGACCCAGGAGAGGCATCTTCAATAGGACAACATGGGTCTTCTGCAACCCTGGGGAATCTTGCACCCATCAGGCGGGTGATTTGCCTGGCCTGAAAATGTTCTGGTGTCCAGAACACAGGGCTATGTGGCAGGGTCCAGAAATGTCAGGATACCCGATTTCATTTTATTTCCCCAGGCTGGAAAAGTGATGCAGCGACATCTTTCACCTCCTCTCCAGCCAAAGAAGCACGTCTTTCCTTGCTGACTGGAACAGATACGAGGTCCACGTGTGCTGTATTTACCTACTGCTGCAGAGATGGGCTGTGCCATTAGAAATGTTGACAAGGAATAAAGTTCACTCTTTCTTAAGTGGCCACAGAATGTTTCCACCCCAATCACGGGAACATTTATTTGCTATTTACTGGGTGAGGTCTGGCACTTGCAGAGGGATTACAACACTGTGAAACCCAGTGAGGATGGAGAAGATGTGGAACTGCACCAGGAGCCTGCAGGAACTGTGCTCTGTGGCTGAGGAGGACCTCCAGGTCCCACAGGAAGGTGCCATGGGTGCTTCCTACCAGCCATCACACGCAGACCCACGGCAGCTCCACACTCGGCCCCTCCACACAGCTCCAACCAGCAGAAACCGGAGCTGACTCACAACATCCCTCCATGGCACCAGCTTTTAATAACTGCCCTAATTCCCCCCCAACACCCAACTCTGCCACGGCTCTGCACAGTCCCAGCGGTGCTGACTCCAGCTTTGCCAAGAATACATGAAAGTGGTGAGGCTGCGGCTTGCCACCAGCGTCTGTGCTGGGCTTGTTCTATCTAAGGAGCGCTGGATTTATCAGCACACTTCAGATGGATTATTCCCATTTAGAGCTAGGATGTTTCAGCTGAAATGGGGAACCAATTTCTACCTGGTGCTTTCACCACAGCATCCCCAAAGAGCTGACAGGATAAAGAGAGAAGCAAAACTAGGTGTAAACACAGGCAGAAAATCTGAGTTAGAGATCAAACAAGTCTACCCAAAGAGTTTTGGATTTCAGCCCAAGGTCTGGAGAAGCAGAGCAAATTTCTTCAACTCTTGAGACCCCTTTCTCATTAAACAAGGTGGCTGCAGCCTGTGGGGATGCTTTGCCTCCTCTGGGGTAGGGACAGCACCTGGCAGCGCAGGGACCATCGTGTTAATCCATCTCACTACCAACCTTCCCCACCAGCCCTATAAAATGAACTGCAGCTAGAGATGTGCTCAGCATCCTTTGCCAGCCTGGCTTTGATGCAGAGAAAACATCAGGTTATCCCTGTCTCAGTCAGGAACCAAGAAAACACAGGGAAAACAGCCTTAAGAAGTTAGGTTTCCTTCTTCTCCAAAAAGCTCCGAAAGGGAATATTATTAAATGATTCAAGATTCAAGGAAAGCTACTGCCAGCTCATCCAGCACTGCTCCTCCAAAGATGCGTGCTCCGCTTAATTTTGCCTCCATGGATGCATGACTGAGCCTGACTGACGCTCTTAGCTAAATTTTAATACTTAAATATTTCATGGGCAGCTGTTCTCAGCAGGCCACTCTCCCCACTCAATAATAGATAGAGCCACTGGTTAAAAGACTTGGGGGAGGTTATCTGAGGCCCTGACACAGAGGTCTGGAGCCAAGAGCCCATTGGAGCTGCTCCAGATGCTCAGCCCACCTCATGGCCATGGGGTTAGAGCCACCATGAAATCTGGGATGTGATGGGGTCTGCAGCCCTGTCTCCTGCCCCAGGGGTGGTCCCTCCAGGATGCCAGGCCGGAGCTGGTCATCAAGCACCAGCACAAAGGAGAGAACATCAGGTCAGGATGTCTCTAGTTCAGATGTCATTAGCCTTCTATGGAAGAGAAAGGAAAACCTTGAGCTGCTGTTGTGGGTTTTGTTTCCATTTCACAAAAGAAAAAGGTAGTTCTTTGTCTGAATCCAGTTCTTCCCTGCCATATTTGCAGAAAGCCCTCAAAGATTTCTACAGAGATGCTTCCCCTGCTCATCCACCCTCACAAGAGGCTGTAGAGACCCTCTTCAAAAATACAATTTTTGTACTTCCCAGAGAGGGCCCCGAGCCAGCTCTGGCAATGCTAACACCCACAGAAAAGTCAGAGGAGCACCTTCACCAAGGGGCTAGCAGGAGCCATCCGGGGAGGGCATGGGACTTGGCCAAGTCTGCAGCAAGAATAAAACCCCCAAATTCTCCGGTAACCACTAGATGAAATGTGACTACAAAAATCTCCTTTCAGTAATATAAGAGGAGTGGAAAACCTACACCAGTAAATGCTGCGACTTAATCGCTCAGAAACCATGGAGGTCAAGGATTTCAGAGCGGTTGCAAGAGGGACTGGGTATTTGTATGTAGGGCCAAGGTATGCACTGGTTGGTAGGCAATCAAAAATTGCAGAAAATATTAAGATTCCTGCATTTGGGCTACAGTCAGCCTTATTAACCGAATGCCAGCTAGTGTTTGTGTGGTGGGAAGTGGGAAACACCATCCCACCCTCTTCCTACTCTGGAGCCCTTATACCTTCTCCTGAAGCAGCCTGGACAGTCCTTGAACTGGAGGAGTTCTGGCAGTTTCTATGTTTAGTGCTCAAGGGAATACCCTGCACTTGGTCCTTAAAGCCCTTTCCTGGACAATTTCATAGGCATTTATTTTGGGGCACACATTTTCTACAGTAAGAAGCCATGAACGCTGCCATCAAGGTGGGATCAGCAGTGTCTCATCTACAGAGGGTAAGGTTATTCCCCTCTTGAATTCCCTGCAAAAGTGGATTTTGGGGAAACAAATGGAACTTTTAAAACTATCAGGGACTTCAGAGTCCATGGCTTGCTTGGGTTTGGCTGCAGGGTTGGTTTGCTCCAGGCAGCCCACCCCGCTCTCAGGCTGCATCTTTGCTCCGCCCCAGGCTCCTCCAATGTCCCCTTTTGAATTCCCGTGACTAACTCAAGTAGCCGAGGGTGGTTTCTCATAGCCAAGCAGTGAGCTGGGTGCCACGGCCAGTCGTTGAGGTCTTCTCACTTCCTCTCTGGGCTCTGTCATTGCTGGAGGCCACTTCACCTGTCCCACTGACAACTCGCCTTCCTCTTTGTTTAAGGGAGCAGAACTCTCCACTGCACCAAGCCAAAGCCTTTTTAATCACTTATCTGATGACTGGAGCTATGCAAAGAGCTCCGTGCCTAAAATGCACCCTCGTCGAGCTCTGCTCTTGATTTCTTGCCCTCCCCAGTCTTTGTGCAAAATGTGCCAGGAGCAGGGGCCCGAATTTACTCGAGAGAAGATGACCCTTCTCACAGCTTACTGCTTTGCACCTCCCAAAGCCTCTGTTCCTGCAGCCCCCCTGCCGCAAAAGGAAATTTAAAATAAGCCTGGGGAATTTTATTTTCATCCTGGTGGGTGGGAGAAGGAGGGTGATGTGTTTTTCTCCCCTTTCTGGTTTTAATTATGATCAAACATTTTAGTTTGATGAAATTTCATGGAGTCCCAAGCCCACTTGGTCTTTCAAGCCTCAGCTCGGGAGGAAGGCAGCGCGTGGTTCCCTCGGTTTAAATACCCCCGTGCACACCCCCGAGCACCTCGTTTATCAGAGATGAAGCCAGGCCATTTTTCAGCTGATTGGCAATATTTTGTATCACATTCAGCAACATGTCCCTTGGGGGCTTCTTAAATCCTATTTAGCAATTGAATGATCAGAGGCTATTACTCAGAATCAGTTAATGGTTTTCAAGTTGACGGGACCTAAATCTAACCGTAGTACCTGCCACCGGTGAGAGGCAGCGCTCCTACGGCCCTGGCCGGATCCCGCGTGGGGTGGATCCCACTCACCTGCTCTGAGCAAGATGACCTGGTCGTCCAGGGGCAGCTCGGAGAAGTGGGGGATCCTCTTGGCCCACTCCACCAAGGTGAAGAGTTGTTTGTCTGCTGCCTGGCATATGTTCGTCACTGGGTCATTGGGCTGCCAAGAAAAGGAGATGGAAAGGTTTGGAGAAGGCAGAGTAAAGAAAGGAGAGGCTGGAGGACCAGCTGAAGGGGCTTGCTGCCTCCCTGCCACAGGGAAGGACCCCAAAGTCAGGAGCACCCCAGAAGTAGACAATATCAGTCACAGGGAAAGGAGGTGATTTGGTTTCTCTACCACATGGTTTTAAGTAGTTTTTATCCAGGTCCAAAATAGGAACTAGGAGTGTTGAGACCCAATATCCATCACACTGAGTGATGAACCAAATGAGCTCCAGCCTAGGGAAGGGCAGGCTCCTGCACCCAAGCAGCACATTCCTTGTGCCAGCATCGCCCAGCTTGACAATCCAGCATCAGAGGGGGCATTGCAGGAAAAAAAGAGAAAAACCCTTTCCTTTGAAATATTATCCAGTAACAGAAACCATCTGCTCTCAAGGAGGACAGTCAGCCTAAACACACCAAATCCCTGTTTAAAGGAACTGCTAACAGCTCAAGTGGGCTTGTGATTAGGAACTGGAAGAGCCTGTCTAACCCCGGCAAAGACAGACCTTGCTAGTGTATAGGGTTTACCTCTCTGGACGGGGATGTATGAGCCCCTTCACATATCCCACTGTAATCCCTGCTGATATCAGGCAGCTTTGATTGTACAGTTATTTTTCTCCCATGTCCTTAAAAGAGCAGTTTCCAAATGGAAAAGGAGTGTTTACTTCACCCCTGGATTGGAGGGGGTAGGGGTGTGAATTCAGAGGCAGAGCAGACACAAACACCAGTGTAACCTCACCCTCCTGCCAGCTCGGGTCAGCA